AGCAAGCCCGACACCTTGCAATTGTAGTAGTAGTCTTCCAGTTTCACTCTAGTAGCATTATAGTATTGTTATAGCACTAGTTTAGTACTCTTCTAGAAACTGTATAGCGTTATGACAGTACTGTAAAAGTAGTATACAGCATGCTTATAGTGTGAAAGAAGTATTGTAGTATCATAGCATTATCACGACAGTGCTATAGTAGTGTTATATAGCATTATTGTGACAGTAGTGTAGTACTAGTATAGTAGCATTGTAATAGCGTTAATTCTTCCTATTAGTAAAATCGACACCAGACTGTGGAACTGTAATCCAGGCCCCAATGCTGACACCCTGAACTCAATCCTGAACCGGCCTATGGTTTAGGCTTTAAAGCTAAGGGGATGCTAAACCTTAGGGTGTTCAGGGCTTAGCGACTGGAGTTTAGAAGGGCTCAAGCATTGAAGGCATGTCTTTCACAACATGAAGGTATCCTGGCACCTCCATTCCTAACGTCAGGGGTTTTCTGAAGGGTTCCCAGAACCCCGTGCGTTTGCGTCAACCTGATGGCCCCAATACGAGTAAGGTAAGTTTCGCTGAACCCTAGACTCTCTAGACCCTACATTTTGCATAACATGCTGAAGGTATCGCAGAACCCCAAAGCTTCATAATTTGATGAAGAAGACAGCTTTAAACCCTAAGAGCTTTGACAGTTTTTTGGCCATTAAGCCCTAATATGATGAGGGTGGCAGTGAACTCTAAAGTCTACCATGGTGAAGCTATGGTGGAATTTCAAACATACTGAAGGTATCCCAGAACCGTAAAGCGTAAGATGATGAAGGTGTCCCCGAGCCGTAACCCCTCTATGATGCAGGCATTCCTTCAGATGATGGAGGTATCCCTGAACCCTCGGCCCTCGACTTCTGAAGTGTCTGGCGAAGTCAAAGGTCTGAGTTCCTGGAGTACTACGGGGACAGCGCGGAGCGCGAGTGGCGCCGAGCAGACAAAGTGGCGCCAAGGGCTTAGACGAACGTGCATGAGAAATCTTAGGGTTTAAGTCTCGGTGGATTGGTCTCAGTAACATCGTATTTATGTGCGTATATACCTACATGCACGCGCAATACATAATATATATATATATATATATATATATATATATATGTGTGTGTGTGTGTGTGTTTATTTACAGACACAAATAATTGTAAATAAGTTCAAACAAGCATATACATATATGTATATGGGTATTTGTACCTGTGTCGGTATCTATGTCTATGTTTTTATCCAGATCTACGACTATGCCTATGCCTATTACTATAGTATCTGTAGCAATGTAGCTATATCTAGGTCTGAACAAGAGCTCTGCTTTAATTTTCATCTGTGCTTTATGTATACTTTGTCTGTGTTTATGTCTGTTCTATGTCTGTGTCTACTTATGTACAAAAGGGTTCGGATTAGTCTTACCATTTGGTTGTCGTGCAGAGTACGCCCAAATCCCATTCCACTTGTGCACGCCCCTTTATCGTAGAACCCTTGTAGAACCGCTTGTAGCCCTTCCAGAACCCTGCAAAGAGCCCTAAATGAATATAGTAGTATGACTTATAGTCGTAGTATTCTAGCGTAGTCTTAAAATTAATACTTTAGTGGTCATAGTAAGATCGTAGTGGTTGAAAAGGCGGTGTTCTAGTGGCATCGGGCTGAGGTTGAAGATCGAACTGTTGAGATGTCGTGGTCTCTCGCTTTACAACGGTCAGGGGTAAGGGGCTTCACATGCAGACGTGCACACATCCACACACACACACACACATATATGTATATATATACACATACATACATGCATACGTACAAACGTGGAACATGCATATACATACATACATACATACATACATACCTGCGTACTTGCGTACATACCTGCGTACATACATAGGCACATAGATGTATACATGCGTGCACATTATACATGCATACATGCACATCTCGTATGTTAGCACTCACTGCATACATGCATAAAGACATAAGCACATAGTTAACACACTTGTATAGTTGCAAGCCTACCTAGCCATCTACCGCGCGACTTAGCTACCTACTAGCCAGCTACTCATCTCCTGCTTTTTTACCGACCTACTTTCCTGCGCCTACATGCTTACCCTGGCTTTTTGCTAAGGACTACATCTCGCGGTATTTAATACATAGTATGGTTCCCCCAACAAGGTATCTTCAGCCAAGCTCCTCAACAAAGACTCAGTAGCATGCTCCAGAGCCTACTCTCTGCTTGTTGCCGGCTGTTGCCACAGGTCGGACGACATAGCGATTGAGGGCCACACCGCCCGAACCTGCTCTGGCGTAGAGGAGATCGGGTGCATGCGAATCAGTCCGCTTGACTGCAGTCAGACTTCACTTTCAGGGAGGCATCGGTGTAACAGAGGAGTGGGAATTTCCGTAAACTTCAGGCCCGAAACTGCAATCAGTAGCCATTCTCGCCAGTCTGCTGTACGTTTCTCGCAGTCTTAGTTTTGATCACCTGCTGTTGTACTCGACACAGCAGGTTTCAGGTTTAGGATTGAGAGTCCTATCCAGGACTGACTTAGTAAGAAGCCTGCGGCACAGTGGAACTGGTACTAACTACTATTACTACCGTTCTTCCATTCCCTACCAACCCAAGGTAGGGATAGTGATCGGTGACTTATTAGCTTGTGAGTCCCTTGTTTGGGGTCACAGGCAATTATGACTTGGATATCTTGCTATCTTGCTCCTAAGCTGAGCCAGTAGGTCCCAGGATCCTAAGCTTTCTGCAGCCCAGGTTACTTCAAGTCCTCCGCGACAGAGGCCGATTCTTGTTGTCAGGTCAACATCCAGAGTATCTGAATGTGATGTTGGGACTGGACGGGACCGGACAGGAAAGGGAAGGGAAGGAAGGAAGGAAGAAGGGAGGTTAGCTTCTTGGCTTTTCGGCCCCGTGACCGCTTAGCTTCTCATCTTGTCGACATCACATGTATCGCGTCAGGTAGAACGATATGCGCAAATTGAATGAAATAAGGGATGTCAGACAGAAAGACAGAGAACGACAGAGAGAAAGCAAGACATAAAGACGAACAAGTACGAACGAACGACGGGACGGAAGGACAGAAAAGCGACAGAAAGAGTCGTCGTCGTCGTCGTCGTCGTCGTAGTAGTAATGGTAGTGGTAGTAGTAATGGTAGTGGTAGTGGTAGTGGTAGTGGTAGTGGTAGTGGTAGTGGTAGTAGTAGTAGTAGTAGTAGTAGTAGTAGTAGTAGCAGCAGCAGGAGTAGTAGTAGTAGTAGTAGTAGTAGTAGTAGTAGTAGTAGTAGTAGTAGTAGTAGTAGTAGTAGTAGTAGTAGTAATCGTTGTGGTGGTGGTGGTGGTGGTGGTGGTGGTGGTGGTGGTGGTGGTGGTGGTGCTGAGGCTCATACGGAACAATGCGCTCAAACGGGCCGGGGAATTGCTTGATTCGTTCCTAGCGTCGAGGACAGGCCAAGTAGAACATTGGGGAGGGTGCTCCTAGCACAAAGCATATAGCATCAGCGACCTGTCGTTTCTGTCCCGCACAGGCGTGCGAGTGGGCTTATCATGCAGCGGTCTGATATTGGAGTCGTATAATATTCGGAAATGTTGCTTCCCTCAGGGATCCCCAATATACTTGTGTTAATGACCAGCAAAAAAGTCTCATGCCTGGTCCTTTGCTTCACACCCTACCCTCAAAACCCTAAAAAGCCCCGAACCCAGTCAACGTCCGGAGCTTTCAAGTTTCGAGTTTAGGGCTCGGTGCCTTGAAGGCGTAGGGTTTGGGGCTTGTTGGATGGAGTTTGATGTCAGTTTGATGTGATGCTCACATTCTTATGCTGCGGAGGCATCGCACATCGGCGAACTGCGAAATCCTCGTGGTCGCAAGCTTGCGACGAGACCGGTCCGGGAGGGTGCAGGGTGTAGGGTTTAGGGTGTAGGGTGTAGGGTTTATAGTGTTTAGGGTATCGGGTGTAGGGTTTAGGGTGTAGGGTTTGGAGTGTTTAGGGTATAGGGTGTAGGGTTTAGAGTGTAGGGTTTAGGGTGTAGGGTATAGGGTTCAGGTTTGGTACACGGAGTCAATGAGGGCCCCCACGGCTTTGACATACACGATTTTGCGTCCTGAGATTAGGTTTCCCAAACCCCGATCTCCGCAAGCCCTGAACCCGTTAACCCTGAATATCCCCAAACCAAAGGCGGAATTCCAACGCTGCTATGCGCAGTCGGCGCACTGTGCAGAATTAAACCGATCAAGCGTAGACGAGCTGCAGACTTTTTCGTTTCACCATGTTTCACCTATGTCTGGTACGCCGTGGGCATTTCTTCTGACTACCGTCCACGTGCACTTCGTTTGCCTTGTGGACGTTGCAATTGTCCTTGCTCTGTACTGAGTGGCGACGACCTCGCACTTGCCACAATCAAGCACGCACCTCCAAACAAGTTTAGAGAAGCGGCCATTCGGTAGTGCACGTCAACGGTGCAAGATGGGTTTTGCACCTTTGACACCGTGGGAGCAACTTGCCTCTTGAACCTCCGGAGCTTCTTTTGAATCTAGGCGGCTTTGGTCATTATCAGCGAGCCTCCGTAGTCACTGTGTAATCTCTAGCAACGGCAGGATGCCGCAAGTTTGGTTCTCGTGATTGGCACACGTTCGTGACGGCCTGAGGTAAGCAGTGTCAGGGCTGAGGGGAAGCACTTCGCACTGCTGGTCTGTGGATGATAGGGCTTCTTACTGCGATCTAAAGGATGTTTTGCCAAAGTGTATTGGCTCCCTCGAGTATCTGTGCGGTTTTGAGCAGCATCTAAAGCCTTATGCCCCGGAACAGAATGTGCTAGTTGCAGAAGTGTTGCAGCTTCACGGCCCAATTTCTCGAGTTCCGGCTATAGCTATAGGCTTAAAGGCTAAGGGTTTCAGGTCGCCGCACCCTTAAATCGCACCGAACCTGAAACTCCCCTGAAACCCCAAAGCCGAAACCTGGTCAACTCCAGCTGGCACAGGACCCTGGATGGCTCCACCCTCCTGGCTCTGCTCTGGGGGGAGCTACAACGAGGTGTGGGTTGGTCCACATGGGAGTCATAAGGTTTTAAGGTTTCGGGTCTCGTCTGTAGGCTTTTGAGGTTTCTGCGTGTTCTTGACTAGGGCAAGCCATCCCAAACCCACACCATAGAACCCCTAGAACACGAAGCTTTCGACCTATGTGAGGGCTTGGTGTTCAGGCCGGGGGGTTGCACCAATACGTCAGCCCCATGTCCATTATGTGTGCATTTGCATGTATATGTAAGTGCATGCATGTACACCAAGGAAACCCTGCGTGTATGCTGTCACATACATTACAGTGCGCTACCTTGCCTGCATGCTCGTGCTGATATTTCTGGTGTTTGACGTGATTTGTATTCCTACTGACCTGACACGACAGGACATACCAAAGTCCTATACCCCTGAGCCCAAGGTACCTTCGCCTGGAGCTGCAAAACCTGTAACCTGAGCTCCTAAGCCCCAATAAAAAGCTTTAACCTCCCTGAAAGCTATGAGAAGCCGTAAAGCGTTAAAGAGCCCCAAATGTCTTCAACAATGCAAGAAACCCAAAGGCCAAACTTCTGATTACCCAGACCTTTGGGAGGATCCAAAAAGTACCCTTGGTAGTATCGGACCCAAATTAGGGGATCTACTTTCTAGATCCTCCAAAGGGGGTCTGGGTATAGAACCAGTACAGAGCTTTCTGAAGGAACTCCAAGAGGAACTTTCTGGATTCGGCAGCTCGGGGAATCCTTGAAGCCAACATCCGAGGCTGCTGAAGGGCGGAACCCTGCAAGAAGCCATTTTCCGGGTCGAAGGTTGTTCAAAAAACAGCAGGTAAGAGGAGCCTCATGAAAAATCGACGAGTGCTCCCTAAATGCACAGGCTTCTCATTTGTGCATGAGTTTTGGCTGTTCCTTGAAGCTTGGTTGTCCTCTTGTCTTTTGAAGGTCGATCTCTTCGCTGAAGGGCTTCTATCTGACCAGGCGCCGCCTGAATATGGAGCCTGAACCGTACCTTGAGCCGGAATAACCTGCCGTTTTAAGGACTTATATAAGGAAATGATAATTCGGAACCCTAAAAAGGTAGGTTATTCCGGCTTAAGGTAGGATCCTCAGCCTAAATCCCCTAAGTGAGGCACGCCTAGGTTTCTGAAGCTCCATGTCAGTCCTTTGGTCAGGATACCTGTGAAGGGCCCTGGGTGTTTAAGGGCTTACGATTTGACATTTAGGGCATTTGGGTTTCGGGTTTTTGCGTGTATGCTTTGGGTTTAGGGTTCAGGGTTTGGGGGTCTAGGGTTTACTTAACATGCTTTGTGCACAGCAAAAACGTGGTATTGATTCTTTCGCACGATCACATAGACCAAAGACGCTATGTTGGAAAGAGTTACGTCCTATCGACTTGCTATTCCAGAACAGCTTTCTTCACCAACAGTCTTGGATGCATCTACATTGGAAGCTGTTGGTGATCACAGGCAGTACGGGACTCCAGAAGTCGCCACCCTGTTGGCAGCTTGAAGTTTCAAGTTTAGTAACGAGCCAATATTTTTAAGAACGGACTCAGTGGTTTGATTTTGTTGTCCTTGCTCATGTGACGTTGATGTGGTGACCAGAAGCCAAGTTAGTGGGTCACCACGAATGGCTCACACACACACACACACACACACACACACACACACACACACACACACACACACACACACACACACACACACACACACACACACACACACACACACACACACACACACACACACACACACACACACACACACACACACACACACACACACACACACACACACACACACACACACACACACACACACACACACACACACACACACACACACACACACACACACACACACAACACACACACACACACACACACACACACACACACACACACACACACACACACACACACACACACACACACACACACACACACACACACACACACACACACACACACACACACACACACACACACACACACACACACACACACACACACACACACACACACACACACACACACACACACACACACACACACACACACACACACACACACACACACACACACACACACACACACACACACACACACACACACACACACACACACACACACACACACACACACACACACACACACAGGGCTTAGGGTTCATAGGTGCAGGTTGCGCACCCTGCGGAATACACAGGAGCCCAGCTGAAGGGCTCTCAATATAGGGTGTGCGAGCACATCCTGAGTGTTGCGAGTGTAAAGCGGATTTAGGGTTTAGCACTTAGTTTAGCAATAAACCTTGAATCATTTGCAGGACTATAGTTCTAAATGTGATCCCTTAACAGCCGGTTCAGACCAACATAACGAACCCAGGGGTAACGGTTCAGAAGGTGCAGGCATTGCACGGCTTAGCCGTTGGGTCTTGGGTTGGCCGGGGATTCATGACATGGTTCAGGATTTTCGGGCTTGAGATCACCAATTAAGCTTTCGTTACAGTGCAGGGTAGGGTCGGGGGTTGGTTTGATTCATAAACCCTTGCTTGAGGCTTAGGGGTTTGGGGTAATGTACGGCTAGTCACCTTCATGCCACCTTTAAGCTTTTGACTGCCAACTGTCTTTCGGCCTTGTCTTGGTGCTTGCAGGAGCTCATATCGAATGCAGAGAGCGAGAATATGCCGCCCAGCCGAAAACCTGAGACAGCTCAAACCCTAAACCCTAAACGAGAAACAGAGACACTTCTAACGCGTTCCTTCCGTTTTCGGATCCTCAAACCATCATAGAATCGTAGATCGCTGATTCATAGGCTCCCTCGCTAACTTAGAATGGATAGAGCATGGGATTCGTAATAGTGTGGCCTTTAAAGAGAGGGGTGGGGTATAATCAGGGGCAAGCCCCGCATGCCCCTTTAATTGCAGTTCCTGTTGAACAACAACCCCCCCCCCGAAGATGCTGCATGAAGAATATCATTCTAGCAGTGAGTTTGAGATAAAGCATATGCATATAAACTCGGCAGTCATCCTGAACTCCTACTGACCCTACCCAAGCCCTTCCGAGCGCAAAACGGAGCTTTAAACATACGCCCTCGTAAAACAATGTCATGAAACAAGCTTATCAAACCTTCAAAAAGCCCCTCTAAAGCTCAGTAAATCCCTATACAACCCCTTATGTGCCGCCATAAACCTCTGTGCGGCCCCACCCACATCTCATAAGTCCGTATAGCACCCGACCAACACGGTGTATTTGTACGCATCCCTTGACCTAGCGTCTTTAATCTAGGGTGAACATGCTTGGGCTTTAGGGTTTAGGGGTAAGGGATTTGTACGGGATTGTCGGCTTTATAGGGGTGCCGTAAGGTTGGATTTTTAGGGCCTAGGGTTTAAGGGTTCAGGGGTCTGTTATGGTCATTGCTCACACAGAGACCCCGAGATCAGAGCTTTTCGTCCCCCCCAGACCTCAAAATTCAATCTGAAGGTTCAGGGGATTGGGTTTTAGGCTTTAGGTTTGAAGTTGTTGGTTTGTGGTTTGGGTCTCAGTAGCTGGGTGAGTATCCTTGAGTTATTTTGGGATGCACATGATCCTACCATAACAGGGAGCTTGATTGTTCTTGCGTTTAGTGTTGAGGGTCAAGGAATCCACGGAAACTTGGAAGGTCTCGTGTGTAAGACTTGTTCAGACTCAGGGGTTTAGAGAGGACCTGCGAGCTGCCGTGGGGTTTTGTAATGGCTTTATGTGAGCTTGGCAGGGGCTTGCAAGGTTAGGATATAAAGGGGTTCAAGTTTCAGGACTTCAGGTCTGTGGAAAAGGCACAGTTTCAGTAAACTAAGCGGCAGTCTCCCTACGCCCTAAGCTTTCAGAAGACCCCTTGCGGATATCCTTATGGGTTATTAGCTTAGAGCCCAGTACTATTAAGGTCCTAACATCTCTGTACTATGAGTATTATTCAACTATTACTGAGTGTGGGCCGTACCCCAGGTTTAGGGTTTAGGGTTTTGATTGCCTGAAGACTTCCCAGCAGCCGAGCGCAGAGGAGAGGCTGGTTGAAGTGTTCGGGTGGTTTTAGGGGTTCCGGGTGTGGGGATGCGGGCCTTAATATGTCTGGAATCCTTAAGCCCCAATCCACAGGACTTCTACATGGCTCTTGCGAGCTGTCGGCATTTGTCTATGCATTGGTGGCGTGGTCATGTTCCTGCACTTCGGCAGCGCACGATTTTGAATCTGTGCCGTTTCAGGTGAGTTTTCACATTGATGGCACTTTGCAGCAGCATGTGCAACTTCATTTAATAAAGGGGCCTTAACAATTAGAATAGGGTATTGGGACCCAAGATACTATAATTATAGTAAGGATTCCCCCCAAATAGTATAGGTAATTATTAAGGCCCCTATATTATTGGGCTGCAACCTACAGCATGAGAAGCACAGCAGTGCACAAGCTCAACACCACTAGCCTAAAGCCGAAATCCCCGAAGCCCCAAGTTAACACACCATGTCTCGCATGCCCGAGGGCTGTCAAAAAAACGCATCGTCAGCACCGGTGTTATCATGCATAAGGCATGTATACATGTCGGTAGGGATGATGTAGGTACACTTGTATGTATGTGTGTAGGTAGGTCTGTCCGTCTGTCTGTCTGTTTGTTTGCTTGTTTGTCTGTGTAGGCAGCTACCACCCTATGGGCTTAGCTGGATTTACTTGTTGCATGATCGAAGGAGGGTTGATCTGTACCAAGGTTTAAATATTCGAAAATGTAAACACATGTATGTGTACGAGTATATATATATATATATATATTCACACGACACACACACACATGTATATATATATATATATATATATATGTATGTATTTGTATATATATATATATATATATATATTGAAAATTTTATTTATATGTGTACATATGTGTGCATGTGTATGTACATACAAATACCAGACACACCATGTCTGAAACCGAATATGTACTTGCGAGTGAGGGTAGGCAGATCAGGCTGCACACGAAGGCGTGCACGGACCTCCTGCGGATCTGATGGCTCCGAGTGACGATGATGATTGCTCCAGCGACCATGTTTTGTTTCTGATGACGATTTTGGTGGTGCTGCGTTTTTGTGTGGAGGCGATACTTCTGCTAACCAACATCCGAAAGTTCCTACTGGGGCTGGTGCATACTGTCACAAATCTGCCGTCAAAGAAAACACAAAGTATGCTCGCCAGCGCGCCGATCATACCCCCTCGACAAGCATTATATCCTTGGAACTTTAAAACTTTAAAACCCTAATCCAAGGAATCCTTTGCAGACACTAGCCAATCTCGTGGATCAGTTCTTCTCCTGGTGCCGCGGCAGGGTTTTTTGAGTCTGAGAGCTTAGAACCTAGCAAAAGTGGCGTACTATCAATAAGTGGTTCTGTAGTCGTGTGTGCAAAATTGTTGTGTCCAAACCTAGGCGGCCAGCCCCGGGACCTCAAACAGCATTGACATTGAAGGCAAGCACGAAGACCAGCAGAGCAATCCTGATGATGGGGTTGCGTCTATCAACGATGCAGTCGATTTCGGGTTTCATCAGAATACTTAACAATACCGTCCCACAAGGTTCCTTCAAGTATGTCCCAAAAATACTAGTAGAGGGTCTCGGAATCCGAGCACATCGCAGCGATCCGAAAGCTTGTTCCCGACAGCTCAAAGCCCAAACTCGAAGCACCAAACCCTCAAAATTGTTGCCCACTGAGCAGGCGAAATCCTTCTGCTTGCGGCCCCGAAATCCAAACCCTGCTTGTAGGTGCTAAAGCCGAACTGCTCGACCTCAACAACCCCAAACCGCCAGCCAGAAAGCCACCAACAATTAGGGACCGAATAACCTTGTCAATCAGCAAGCATTGAAACCTACCATCCTGTGACATTGCCTCTTCCACTCTATGTTTACCTGCGTCTTTCCTGCTCAAGGATGGTCTGGCTAGGGCGGCTAGCGGCTCGGGTTTAAGTTTGCGGGTAGAGTTGAGGCTTTAGTGCTTGGGATAGGACCTACACAAAACCGTACCAGCAAAGAAATTCAAGCAACGTGCAGCCTAAGCACAAGAAGCCCAAACAGCCACACAACATCTAATCGTCGCTGGTAACCTCAAGCCCTGAACCGTAAGCCCGAAAACCTTAAGGCAACCCGCCGTGAAACCCCCATGGAACCGGACCCATATAACCTCAGGAATGCTGTTAACACTACTACTTGTCATAATCAGGAAATCGCGCCTTTCCATTTATTAAGGCCCCTATATCACAGACCCTTATAGAAGCCCGCCGAGCGAACCTTACAGAAATCTTCTAGAACCTGGAACCTCTCATGCCCTGAAGGTTCCGCAGCATCCCGGTGCTGGGATGGCTCCTGGACACCTTGGGAGACGCAGTAGCTTTAGCCGTGGGGTGTGATGCTTGGCAAGATTCATTGTGCAGCGTTTGTAGGGCCTTATGTATTTGGGGTTTGTCGGTTTTGACACGTGTCAGTTCATGGATTATCGTTTTAGGCAGACACAGGAGTGAATAAACCCACACGTCGATAAAAAACAGAAAGCCACATGTGGATAGCTTTAGTAATAGTTTCTTGTGATTGGATGCTTGTGCTTTCTAGGATTTTTGTACGGGCTGGTATCGCTTGAAAATACTGAGGGTTTTCATTCAGGGGGCCTGATCTGAAAGAGCTAGCTATTCGGGGTTTTGTACAGTGCCTTCGTCGAAGGCCAGGGCGCAAGGTTCTCTGGTTTAGGTATTCTGGCTCGTCAGGGCTTTGGGGTTGGGTAGAGGAGTTACTCCTCGTTGTTGAGCGTTCTTATGCTGTCTATGAGCAGGCGAGGCTTTGGTGTTTGTGGCTGCGAGTTCAGCACTTTCACCACACTTCCCAGACCTCCCACCGCAGACTCGGTCTGGTCTTTTGGTTGCTACAGCCTACAGGGTCAATATGCCCTTACCAGACTTACACATCCATAGTGTAACGCATATGTACATAAATACACGCATGTACATGTACATACATATGTATGTGTATACATATTCACAGATGTACATGCATATATATGTGCATATAGTATGTATTTATGGACTTTGAAACAAGTGTATCTATACTGTTTCTTTTTATGCGAGAATGTAAATAGTACACCATGATATGTGAGTAACGTTACACTATCTTTTAACTACATTCTCTTTCCTCTAAATCCAAGACTTTAGCTTTCTCTGAGCCCGAAATTGCCCGAGGCCATCTTTGGCGTTTCAGTAGGCATTGGCCTTCCCTCCGCTTTGATTGTCATGAGCTCCTTGCCGCGAATCTCCAAGGGCTTCTTCATGGATGCATAGCGCGTAACTTTCGTGGACTTCTGGGTTTAAGGTGCAGCTCTAACTTACCCGGAGGCTACGGTTCTAGGGTGCATTCTGAATCTGTTTGATCTCTTGGCTCATGTTTTCGTGGTACATGGGATGACCAGCAACCACAGATCTTGCTTTTCTCAAAGGGCAGTCCAGCGACATATACCCTGTTGCCTAGTAGTAGAGTAGGTAACCTTCAACCTTTTTTGGGTAGTATAATCCCTGTATAATCCCTATACAACCAAAAAGGTTAACCTTTAGTTCCCCATGATACCCGACAAGTAGGGTTTACGATGCCTCCTGGAACCTAAACCCCTACACCCTAAACCCTAAGCCCCAAAACCCCCACACTCCTGGAACCTCCATGGGCTTCTCGGACTCAGTATCCACACGCAAACCGAAGCCTATCACTCAATCCGATATCAGAGTTGAGCTTGGGACCCTACCAATTTCGAGGGCATGTTAGGTTGAGGCTTCTTCTATGTATAAGCAGCGGTGGCATGCTAGAAGCACTTGACACATCTCAACTTCTTGTAGCGAGGGAATTGGGCCACAAGATTCTCGGGGCTATACCACTTTGGAGGTTTAAGGTCCAGGACTCTAGGCTTGAGGTTGTGGTGGTTCAGGGGCAGAGGCTTGGCATGAGAAGGGCTACATGTAGGACTGTAGGACGATCCTGGTCAGGGGACCCACATATAGCTGACCCACATACTTACTGTCTCCCAAGATTCTTTCAGTAGGGCCTGCTGCTTTTTTGTTGGTGAAGGTCGTAGGACGTACGGAGGTCGTAGGGCTCTAGGGTCGAGAGTGTAGTGTACGGGACTGAGTATTGAGCAACCTTGTTCCATGCAAAACACAAGTTGCAGTTGTAGTATCACTGATCCAGGAAACCCAGGCGCATTATTTGGGCTTTTCGGGTTTGTAGCGGCTTATGGGATCTACAGAGTTCACTGGGCCGGTGCTCCAGGTTTATCCTCGCCTTCTTTCTTTGAGAAGGAGGCAACTAGAGTCCTAACCTTTTTGCCTTTTTTTGCGATGTCTTTACCTGTTTGCGACCCAGGTAAAAACAGCGTCTCTGTCTGGGACAGGCATACTAAATCGCAAACCCTCTACCCCGACGATGCTGAGTCTTGAACTCCGGAACCTTGCCACGGACCCAGGCATTTCTTGGTGCGCCGTGCGACCCCTGCTGGGCAACTTGGCTTGAGATGGGAGGGTTTAGGCTCATTCTACCCTGAACTCCAAGCCGGTTCTTAACTTACTTTTTGGTTAGTAGGGAATGCAAGAAAGGTAGTAATAGTACTTATAATTGCACCTCATTCCTCCATTCCCTACTCACCCAAGGTAAGTTAAAGGATGGTGATGTCAGCTTTGGGCTTTGGGGTCTGAGCGTAATCCTCCACAGGCAGAAGCCCTAGAGAAGCCCTTCACCTCAGCAATTCTCCGCATTTAGGGTTTAGGGGTAATATGGAAGTCGGGACCCTTGCATCCTTGCTATACGTGCCCTCGAAAGGAGGTCATCCACGTACAATCAATAAGTCCCTATTCCTTAAATGTACTCTGAATCCTATGCAGCCATTCAACCCAGGGCATGCCCGACTCCCGATGTAGGTCGTGAACCCTCAAGCAAAGCTCTTAAACCGTGACCTCCAAACACCTAAGTCCTAAAGCCTAAGTCCTGTACGTACCCGAAATTATAGAGTCTGCTTGTAGACCACAAACCCCAAGCCGTTTATATCTACAGTCAGTGTAGTTTGCCGCAGTTTGCCCCGGAACCTGAAAAAGCTCCCGATTTGAGGGCATGCTTTGGCAGAGGAGGTTTAGCCTTTTTTCGGGTGTTGGCTTTCAAGGTCAAGGTCTCGAGTTCTTGTTTCACGTGTGATGCTGCTGTTGGCTTTGCAAAGAATTGCGCGAGTTCAGCGGTTGAGGTGAAGGTTTCAGGGTTGGGCGTTTAGAGGCTGTTGTGACCTCCTACTGGCTGAGGATCATGCAACAAGATGTGTGGTCGTTTTGTTGTTGTATTCCCCCATTACGGAGCATCCGGCTCTGTGGATAGGCAGCTCGGAAGAAACTAGCAGGGACAACCAGAGAACAATGACAAAAGGCGCAGCGAAAAGCAGCCGACGAAATTACTGCCCCCGAATCCCTAAACCCAATACGCTCCACAAACAGCATCGGCAGATGAAGTGGATGCACGAGTAAAAAAGCCACGGTGCAATTCTGCATCGTGACTAACAACAAACAGCGGCATTAGGTCACAAGTTCCAGCAGCCAGTAGTTCTGTTGTTATGACATACATAGCCACGACGCGATCTTTTTGGCGACAGTACTGTGCTTGTATTGATTGTACTGATCAGGGGTTTGGATTGCGCTTCTAGTCTAGAGTCTAGCAACACGAGTAGCAAGTGGAATGTGGTTTTGGTAGGAGTGACATATCAGTCATAACAAGCTTAATAAAGCGGCCTCAACTTTTGATGCCAGGGTTACTCCGAGATGCTTTCAGTGTAGAACACCTCTCAGACCCGAGCCCAATTAGGTACTTTGCATGTTGTGTTAGTCGAACTTGCAGCTCCCTCGTGACCTCCTGTGTGGAACGGCTTGAGGCTTTAATTTCCGCGTTTAGTTCCCTTCCTCCTGCTGGTATACATCTGTTTCTGCACGCAAGATCCGTATATAGAGTGACATTTGGCGGCAGTTTGAGCCTTTGCCTGCTCGATTACTCAAACAACGGTTTCCCTTCGCTCTTGTCTCTCTCTCTCTCTCTCTCTCTCTCTCTCTCTTTCTGTGTCTATACACCCGTATTTGTTAAGCATGCATGCATACATACATAGATCCCTGCATCCCAGAGTTTTCTATACGCCAGTTCTACTTGCGATCTTTGGTACATGGGTGTCAAGTTGCCGAAACTTCAGCAAGGCATTCCAATGTTGCTGGCCTGCGTGGCTGCCCTTTGCATGGCCTTGAAGCTCCCTCCTGAGCTTGCTTGTGGATTCGGATGCAGGGGTTAAAGGGAACTCCAGATTAGTGGTAGGATCCCCTATAACTTGCCTTAAAAGGGGCTACGATAATCCGGCTTCTACTGTAGGGGTTCCTGATTAGAAACCCTGGCCTTCCGACAAAAAGGTTTCTATATCAGAGTCCATGATTTCAGGCTGACAGTATCTGCAGTCCCCAGTGTGATTCCTTTTGGGCTTCCAGGTTTCTCTATGATGGGGCTCTCTATATATGTGTATATATATATATATAGAACGACATTGGAGAGTATAGCAAAGAAAGAGGTCTAACAAATCAGTAGCAAGATGACCCCTCCAACACCCTGTCCTAATTACTAAGGCCCTACAGCAGCTTCCTGCCATGCTCGATTTTCTGTAGGGTCCCAATGTCAACCTCAGTGCAGAATGTATAGGAGACCTGAACAAAAGGCATGATCTTGCTCACTTCAGGCCTTCCCAAACTGCTTGAAGCCTTCGGGGATCCACGAAGAAAGAGCCCTTGGGGCCCTTGAGCATACACGCATTATCATCTGTTTAGTGGCAAGCGCATTTTTCAGGCGGTTTGGGTCAGGATTGAACCTAAAGACCTCCACCTCATATGGCCTGTGTTTTGCCAACATCCTGTAGTTGAGGGGAAATTCTTCAAATTTATAGTTGAGATCCTCATTTAGACCTTGATCAAAACAGACCTGCCGTACCTTGTTGACATAGAGCCCTTCAAGGGACCCTTATTACCTTCAGGGACCTTGGGATCCGTCGAAGGAACCTTATTTGTTATCGTACTCTTGCAGCAGCCTTGAAGCCCCAACCCTAGACCCTAGACGTCACTTTAGGGTTTGGGGTTTAGGGTTTCTCACTCCCGCAGCTTACAAAAGTGGTCAGAACAGAGCCCAGAGGTCTTTGTTCCGCATGGCCGAGCAGGGCAAGGGGAAGAGGAAGGTCGCCTGAGCGCTTTCGGCGCCTGGCGTCCGATGTGCAGTCCCACATAAGGTTTGGGGTTTAGGGTAAACCCTAAACCCGAAGCCTTAAACCCTAAAACCCCAAACCCTAAACCCTAAACCCTAAAACCCTAAAACCCTAAACCCCAAATAGGGTTTTCGGCCTTAGGGTTCAGAGTTTACGCTGCAGCTTGAGCGGTTGAGTCCACATGAGTTGCCGATGCTAAGATTTCTTTTAATGACCAGTGTGTCGTCGTAGCCCGATGACACCCAGCCGGCTGTGGTGCGTGCTGCTAATGGAGTATCGCACAGGGCAGCATGCAGGCAGCAAAAAGAGCGCACGAGTGATTCAAGGAAACCCAAACGTTGCAGACTCTTCTGTGCACACGCCTGTGCACGGGCATCTACGAATTTCTGCATCATGCATCACTTCTGTGTTCCCATGCGTTTGCATGGTCAACAGGATTCCTCGCCTAATTGCTGCAGCCACGGGGCTACGACTCATTACTCGTACTTGTAGTAGTGGTAATCATATTCGTGGTAGTATTCGTAAAATAAGTACACCAGAACTAGCACTAGCACTAGCAACATAGAGCAACTCCTGCGCACCTACCTACCTGGCTACATTAACTAGCTAGTGGTCTTGCTTTCTGAGTGGCTGCTTATCTGCACTTTACAGGAGAGATGTCTTGAACAAATAGCAACTGTACCCCCTGTTGTCCCTACACATACTTGTGCGATTATGACATATCCCGAAGCCGTATTATAGTCAAGATGGCCTTTGTCTTTTCACGACTTGTGAGCAACTCTCAGCTTGGTTGCAGGTGCACTGCAGCAGACGCTCGCTGGGAAGTCAGAAGAGGTGTGGCCGTCACCGGGGTTCGGGGTTCAGGCTTTAGGGTTAGAGTTTAGGGGTTTATAGGGTCGGAACCAGGGTTCAGGGATGAGTGTAGGGATTTCAAGGGTTTAGGTCCTAGGGCCTATAGGGGTTCAGGGGGGTTCGCAACCGGGATGAAGGGTTTAGTGTAAGGATCTGACTGACCAGGATGCATCGATTATTGAGAGCCTGTAGGAATTCGTGCCACAGGTGCACTAGGGCGTTCGAATAAAACCCTGAGCATCTACTTAGCACGGTGACATGGAAAGTCGGAGTTGGGGTGTACGGTTTGCGGTGAGTTGGGTCAACGTACCTTCATCATCAGGATTATCCTTTGTCACAGCTCGGTAACGTTTTACATATTTATGGGTACTTCAACTCAATAAGGAATACAAATTAAGAATTTTTAATCATATCCCAACTATGGGCCATGGTTTTTTTTTTTTCGAAGGTGCGGCCAACCCTTGTTTGCGAGGTGCGGCCAAGGGTCCCTGGTGCATGCGGTCCCCTAGTCCTCTGGTCCTGGGTCCTGTGGTCCCCTGGTCCTCCGGTCTGCTGGTCCTCTGGTCCTGTGGTGTCCGTGCATGCGGTCCCCTAGTTTTCTGGTCCTTGGTCCTGTGGTCCCCTGGTCCTCTGGTCTGCTGGTCCTCTGGTCCCGTGGTCTCCTGGTGCCGTGGTCTCCTGGTCCTGCGGTCCGCCGGTCCCTCGGTCCCGCAAAAGCAACAAGAAAGCAAACAAGGAATAACAAAAATAAAGCAAAATTTCAGAAGTAAGAAAACCAGAAGAAAGATGATGAAGGAAAGAAAGCCAGGAAGAAAGCACAAAAGAAAGCAAGAAAGCAGAGGAGCTAGCAAGGAATGAAAGAGAAACAAGAACGGGAATCCGTTTTTGTTTGCGTCCTTTTTTTCGGTCCTCTTTTTTTGCCTCCACGTCCTGTTATTTACACAGGGAAGGAAGAAAGCAAGGAAACAAGGAAGGAGGAAGGAAGGAAGGAAGAAGGAAAGAAGAAGGGAGAGAAGGAAGGAAGGAAGGAAGGAAGAAAGCAAGAAAGCAAGGAGACAAGGAAGGAAGGATGGAAGGAAGGAAGGAAGGAAGGAGGAAGCAACTAAGCAAGGAAGAAGGATCGAAGGAAGAAAGGAAAGAAGCAAAGGAACGAAGGAAGGAAGGAAGGAAGGAAAGGAACGAAGGAAGGAAGGAAGGAAGCAAGGAAGGAAAGAAAGAAGGAAGAAAGGAAGGACGGTAGTACATCAGTATATAAAGTAAAAAACACATATACATATATATATATATATATATATATGTAAATGCATAGTATACATAGTATACATAGTGCATGTAGTATATATAGTATGTATACTAGATATAGTATGTACAGTATATACATATAACATGTGTATATATAATATATATTCATATAGTATATGCATATATATATGTAGTATATATATATGTAGTATATATATATATAGTATATAGAGTTTATATTGTATATTTTTATCTACAGTATATATAGTATATATAATGTATAAAGTATATATAGTATATATATAGTGTACATAATATATACAGTATGTATATATGTATATATATATATAGAGTATATATGTATAGTATATGTAGTAGATTAAGTAGATATAGTATTAGTATATACAGTTTATATAGTATCTATAGTATATATTATTTTATATAGTACATACAGTAGATATAGCATATATAGTAGATATAGTAGATATGGTAGATATAGTAGTTATAAGAGATATAGTAGATATAAGAGATATAGTAGGTATAGTAAATATAGTAGATATAGTATATATATATATGTATATATTATATACATATTGTATATATGGTATATATATATATATATATATATATAGTAAATATAGTACATACAGTATATACAGCATACATATATATATATATATGTATATATATATAGTATATATAGTCTATATAGTATATATAGTATATATAGCATATATAGTAAGTATAGTGTATATATATATATATACAGTGTATATATATATATATATATATATATATATATTCATACAGAGAGAGAGAGAGAGAGAGAGAGAGAGAGAGAGAGAGAGAGAGAGAGAGAGAGAGAGAGAGAGAGAGAGAGAGAGAGAGAGAGAGAGAGAGAGAGTGTGTGTGTGTGTATATATATATATATATATACATACCTATGGAGGGCCCATTATTTTGGATCTTGTTGTTGTTTTTTTTTGTTTGGTGTTTTTCCATGGTTTTCCTGGGGAAAACACTATTTTCCTCACGTTTTGGACGGATTTGGTGTGCTTTTCTTGGTTTTTCCACCTGAAACGAAAAGAACCCAGGAAGACAGAACGAAACACCCCAGAACAAGGACCAAAGCAAGGAAGAAGAACAGAAAGAAAGAAAAGAAGTAAGACAGACGGTTGGAAATTCAGGTTCGGAACCCAGATTCACAACACGGATTTTCTTGGGTTGTTGTTTCAGCGGGGTTACACGCGAAGCAACACAATCAATCATGAATGACTTGGAAGCTCTCTTGAGCCACGAAGTAATCAACAATAACGTGTTTGCCAGCCGGTCGTTTGCTACGAAATAAATAAAACCGTGTTCGTCAACACAAAAAAAATGAAGCCAGACAACAATGCTTCAGGGGGTTTTAACGCGAAGAAGACCAAATCAATCCTGAAGGATTTAAAAGGTTTGCAAATGGGGGGGGCTGCGCCCCCCCCAACCCCCCCGCTTTTTTTAGACTAAACTCCCCGCTCTCTAAAGCCACGGAAAATGCACAAAAACGTATCCGCCAACACACAAGAAGGGGAAGCCAGACAATAATGCTTCAGGGGGGTTTAACGCAAAGAAGACAAAATCAATCCTGAAGGATTTAAAAGGATTGCAAATGGGGGGGGGCTGCGCCCCCCCCAACCCCCCCGCTTTTTTCAGACTAAATTAACTCCCCGCTCTGCAAGCCCGCGAAGAAATGAACATACACGTATTCGGCAACACACAAGAAGGGGAAAGCCAGACAGCCACGCTCCAGGGGGTTTAACGCGAAGAGCAGCAACAACACGACGACATCAACGACACCACCACCACCAACGACGACAGCAACGACATCAACGACACCACCACCGCCACCAAGGCAAATAGTTTTGGAAATGGCTTCATTTCCTATAATTTAATTTGTTTGTGATGCTCTTTTTTTTAAATCAGTTTTTTGTTGATCCCTGGATTTCATTTGTTGTTGATGATTAGTTTTTTTTGATGCTTCACCCAGGGATCCTGCGCTTCGAAGCGCTGGCGCTGTGGTGCGGCGCCAATTGTCTACGTCCCCGATGAACCCTCCACAGGGATCCTGCCCCTCGAAGCGTTGGCTCTGTGGTGCGGTGCAAATTTTCTACGTCCCCGATGAACCCTCCACAGGGATCCTGCCCCTCGAAGCGTTGGCTCTGTGGTGCGGTGCAAATTTTCTACGTCCCCGATGAACCCTCCACAGGGATCCTGCGCCTCCAAGCGCTGGCGCTGTGGTGCGGCGCAAATTCTCTACGACCCCGATGAACCCTCTACAGGGATTCTGCGTGTCGAAGCGCTGGCGCTGTGGTGGGGCGCAAATTCTTTACATCGCCGATGAACCCTCTACAAGGATCCTGGGTGTCCAACCTGAACAAATCCTTGGCCGCACCTCCGAAAAAAGAGGGTTGGCCGCACCTTCGAGAAAAAAAAACCCCCCGCCCCCAACTATGAACTAGTATCGGTGTTTTGATTTTGAGCCAACAAAAAGCTTACCCACGAAGCCCGAGGGGAGCTTGAAGGTAGGATTTACGCAGCTGATGCACAAAATGCATGCACGATAGTACCGAAGGCGCTAATTATTTCATTCAGAAGATGAAGCATAATAAAAGACTACAAGTTAGAAGCATAGCAATATTCATAATCATGATAGTAATATTAACAAGGGTGATGACAGTAATACTAAGATAGAAAAGTTCGGCGTGCTTCGGGCGATGCAGGAAGAATCGAGACCGACAAACTTTCACGAGCATCCTCTGACATCCGGAGTTCGAAACCCTGCAACCCGGAATGCCCTTGCGTGCTTTCTATAATTAGGGACCCCGACAGCATGGGTCAGCCAACTCCCG